TTCTAGATTCCAAATAAATCCATATCTTAAAGGTATACCACCAGTCAGAAGGGTTTCCAAGTGTATTTGAAATTAAATCTCAAAGGCCATTATGAAAGATATCAAATACATGCAAACTAAGGTAGTATTAATTTCAAACTCTCATTTTTTTATTCTTGGCAGATTAAAAAAAAAAAATTCGGATCCAGAGCCACGGCCTTTCAAAACACAAATGCAACCACTTCAGAGTAGTATAATCCAAACAATTTTAGCAATATACAATAAGAATTCCTTTTCATGTTTTCAATGTTTATACCTAAAAGTTCACCACTCTAAACAACTAAACTATGCATAAACTTCCTTTTTTGATGAGAAACATTTATATTTAAGGACTCCAATGAATTATCCTTCCTGGATAACTAAATACAAATAAACCACATATGAAATTTCAAATTAGATAAATAAACAAAATGTAATATAGAAGAAGAAAAAGATTTGAATATTTCAAGCCTTCACTGTTGTTAAACAGTGAGAAAGGACCAAGTATGAGTCCACTCATACGAGAAATGCTGAATGTCTGTAGGTCAACAGCAGTTTCCAAAAGTCTCTACATAAAACACTGTGAATATAATAATTATTGCATGAGCAAACTCTTAGTGTCTTTGGTTTGGCAGCCCATGATAAATCAGGAAGAAGTTAAATACTGAAGGTTTTTCGTGGCGGGGGGGGGGGGGTGTTGATAAACTAGAAAGAGGCTCTATTTTTAGATTATACATGGAGTTAATCTGAATTATGCCAGTGACTACACTAATCACTAAAACTGCTGTTTTGTAATTATAATCCTCAGTGATTATAATAATTCAAGAGGATAAAGCAGTTCCTTCAAAATTTCAAGGAGATTACTTTTATGCAACATCCCTAATCTTGGTTTCCTTTTTCCCTACAAAGCAGTTATTGAATCAAAAGTCCTGCTCCAACAAGATTACTTATTTTTTTTTAAGTAGGCTCCACACCCAATGTGGGGCTCGAACTCACAACCCCAAGATCAAGCGTCACATGCTCCTGGGCGCCTGCGTGGCTCAGTTGTTAGGTGTCTGCCTTCGGCTCAGGTCATGATCCCGGGGTCCTGAGATTGAGGCCAGCTTCTCCCTCCCCCACTCCCCCTGCCTGTGTTCTCTCACGGTCTCTCTGTCAAATAAATAAATAAAATCTTAAAAAAAAAAAAAAAGGTCACATGCTCTACACCAACTGAGCCAGCCAGGTACCCCAAGATTACTTATTTATATTTACAAATATAGGGATGCCTGGGTGGCTCAGTTGGTTAAGCATCTGACTCTTGGTCTCAGCTCAGGTCTTGATCTAAGGATTGTGAGTTCAAGCCCCAAGCCGGGCTCCACGCTGGGCATGGAGTGTGTGTGTGTGTGTGTATATATATATATATATGTATGTTCGACTAAAGGAATAAGTATGTTCATTAGAATAAAATTAGTACTTCTCCCTATTACTTAGTTTTATTTCTCATCAAACTGAAGCCCAGAGTTTACAAATAATGTTAATTTTCTCTCCTATAATGTTAAATAGATATGGTTCTTTTAATCCATTAGTAAAATTAATAACCTTTTGAAAGAGTTTCAATTAGACACCTGCATAAGGAAAAGGATTTCTAGTTAACTGTTCGAAACACATAACAATTGATACATAGAATTATTACAATACCAAAGTTATAAAAGACATAGTAATGACTCTTAAAAAAAAAAAAAGACATTCTAAATTTTCATAATCCCAATTATATTTTCAGTGCTCTCTGAATGACTACTCAGGTTACAGAACCAGGAGATCACAAGAATATGTCTGCAATCCAAAAACACTGATGATTCACACTAAGCCCAATTTCTACCAAAAAAACCCCTCCTGAATGTGTATTTATTAGTCCTTGCCCTTTCTGATCTGTAACCTTTTTATTAATAAATAAGGAGAAATAAATTCCAAATGCAAGAGGGTTAAAAATGTCTAAAAACGGTCCCTAGAGAGTTTGAATTTTGAATTCTTTATAGGAAAATGTAACTTTGTCCTCTTCCAAAAGTTATCACTATCCTGTGGAAAAATGTTTTATTTAATTCAATAATGTTATGAGATGACATGGGAAGAATGATTCTAAATAAAAAGGACCATAAAAAACTTTTTGGAAGCAAGGATATCTGTACTGCACCTTGAAGGATGGGTAGACCTTATTAGGCAAATGAAGGAAAGGCATTGCAGTCACAGGGAAATGGCTCAAGCAAAAGCAAGGGGGTAAGAATGCACAGAACGTATACCCAGGACAAGCACACTGGGTTGGGAGTAGGAAAAGTCTAAGAAGGTACTAAAGTGTTAGGGACTGTGAATATGTATGTGGCCTTGTATTAAACCTTGCAATTTTTTCAACAAAGGAATAGCAAAGTCGGATCTGTGTTAAATAAACTGCAGCAACACAGGGTAAAGGAGGGAGACAGAAAGAAGATACTTCGAAAACTCCAGAAGCAACTACTGAACAGGAAGTTTTCTCTTGTCATCTCAAAACACCAAGCAAATTACTTTGCACATAATCGATGCCCAACAAACGTTTTTTAATTTCTTGCCTGGGAAGAAGATAAGAACTATGAAGTAGCAAAGAATCCTATACTAGTGAGAAAACTGGGCTTTAATACATATATGCTCCACAGTAAAGAGTATATTCATATTCATGTAAATAACTCAGGAAAGTTTTACTTAATTTTTTACTGTTTTTATAAAGATGATTACAGGATATTGAAAATGTTATATGATTTATAAGGTACTGAAAGGAAGACAGCGGTCTTAAAAGGAGGACTGAAATATTTCTGCATAGTTCCCAATAAAACACAACACCTACAGGCATCTTAAAAGTGGATTGTGTCCCTACAAATGGAATCCAGAGACCTGGAGGAAATTTAAACTGCAGAGAAGCAACAGAGCATGTGCTCTGCGATCAGGTCACAGTTTGACTTATTAGTTATATGATCTTGAGCTAGTTAAACTCTCAGAATTGGTTTGGGCATAATGACACTTATCCAACGTGTGTTGTGATGATTAGAGATCCATTTTATAAAGTATCTAACCCAGTGCCTGGCTCTGGTACTTAACAAAAGTACTCAATAAAGTATAGTAGTAATAATGATAGTAGCTGTTATTACTTTTTTGAATGTCTATTAGATTTAGAATAGTCTAAATCTACATCAGTTTTTTAATTTTCAAATTCCAGAGAACTAATTAAAAATTTTACCGTTTAGGTAAATCTTAAGTACAAGGCCATTTAAAAAATTACTATAGCCTATCTTCGTTGTAATTAGCTTAGTACCAAGTCTGAGATTTATATTAAAATATAACATTTGTAACCTTGCATGTCTGATTTAATAACATTAGAAAATACAACTAAACTGCTGATCTAGCCAAAGCAGATTTGGGGGGAAACGCCTCTACAACAATACCATACAACTTTTTACATTGTCTCTGCTCCAAGGAACTTGCCAGAACGAATCCATGGTAAGGTGGAAAGCAGAGTAAATCTGAGACTGCCCTTACACCATCACCCCTCCAGCCCTCACTCTACACACACACACACAACCCCCCCCCCCCCCCCGTCCAATCAACAGTGATCGTTTAGAAGTAAGCAACATAAAAAGCAACGAAAGCTGCTTCTCGAATAGGGACAGCCCAAGCAAAAAATGGTCTTTATCAGAGGTAATCACAGTGTGGTTATCAGACCAGAAATCTTCGGGCACCCTTCTAAAGTGGCAGCTTGAAAATTCAGCTCGATTGGTATGTTAACCCCACACACACCACGAAAGACTCCAACTCAAGTTGACAGAATGGAAAGCCAAGAAGCTACTCTGCTTAAACTCTGCGGCAGGGTTAAATCATGCATTAAGGCAAGTAAAATTTCCATCCTTACTCGTTTTCTTTAACGAAGCTCAAATGATACCAGTTAAAATGATCCAACTGGTTACCACTAAAACAAAGAAAATTATAGATTTTCCACGTTTTAACTCTTCGAAGATATCTATAAATGATACAGATTTTCGGATAAGGGCTTTCTTAACATCCTCTGCTTACTAAAACTTTTTGCAGCCACTACCAATATCTACGGTAACTCGACAAGTCGGTGCCCCGAATGCATGAGTTGAAATGTGGTGAACGCAGGTGTTTGACAAACACTGCCCGCTTTAGACAGCAAGCGCATGACTCCAAGTGAATGCTATCTGCCTCGGATTAATTCCACGGGGATTCGGGTTTTTAATCCACCGTTTGTTACACTCAGAATACGTGAGGAGTCGCTGTGCCCTATCATATACTCTCTATTTTTTAAAAAAGTTAGGGAACAAAGCTCTCAAACTTGACTCTCATTTAAAAATCTCGCCGCAAGAAAGCAACTCGCACTTCACCCCGTTTCTGGTTTCCTCACTCGGGTCCCCGCCGCGCGGGTCCCCGCCGCCCACCCGAACAAAGCAGGCGGACCCCAGACCCGGGACACAGAACCTCCTCACCCAGCCCCGCACACACTCGCCCCTCCCAGTCAGCTCCCTCCGCGGGGCGCCCTGAGACGCCTCAGAACTCACCTCCCGCGGGCCGGCGAGTCCCGGGAGCGCGGCGGCCGCGACGGAGCCGCAGCAGCGGCCGCCTCAGGCGACGGACGGGTGGCCGCGGCCCCTCCCCCAGGCGGGTCCGCGCGCCAGGGGCGCCTCGCCAGGCAGAGGCACTGCGGGAGGCAGGCACTCGCCCCCCGCCTCCGCTCGCCGCAGGTCACGTGGGCCAGAGCTCGCGCGGCTCTCCCCCCACCCAGGGGTCGCGCGGCGCCGCCGGCCTCCACAGCGCCCCTCCTCTGCGCCTGCGCCCCAGCTCCAGTAGCTCCCATTCAAACCGACAACGCCCCGCGTCTTTCGGACCCGCCAATGGCCAGCGCGGGGGGCGGGGCGGGGCGGGGCGGTTGTCCGCGCCTCTGCCTCCACCGTCCCGGGGCGGGGCACTGCGCGTCAGGCTGAGGGGGCCCCTGGGGGGCTTGGCCCTCCGCTGTTCCGGGGCCTGTCGTCAAGCACCAAGTTGAAACTGCTTTCCTGCCTCTTACTTCTTCTTCAGACCCTGAAGGGTGGAGCGATAAGTATCGTCCAAAGAGTCTTCAGAGAGGGTCCGGCCCGGACCCCTTTAAAAGATGGGCGCCCGGAACAAATGCGTCCTGCGCTGACGGCTCGGTCCAGCCTAGAGAACGAGTTTCCCAAGCGGCCTATGCGGGATGTTTAAGAAAAAGGGCTCTGTGACAGGAACAGAGGGACCCGTGTCAAAGTCCGAACAAGGCAGCCTCAGTTCTGGCGGCCCTGTCACAATTCCGGCGTTTCCAGCTGTTAAGAAAGCAAACTTGTGTTGACTGCAGAGTTGCCGGATCCCAGGAAAACTGGGTGGCGCTTGACTCAGTTTCAGGCCGCTATATTCCAGATACACTGGGAAAAGGCGGTTTTATTTCCATGCACCTCCTCCATTATCAGGTTTAACCAAAACATAGGTCTCAGTTCTTCACAGAAATACCAAGACTACAGGCTCTTTGGGCTGAAGAGTCGGATGAATTTAATTAGATTATTTCTCAAACATTTCTCCACTGAAATGAAATTTAAATGTTTCTGCAGGCTTAAGGGTGTGTTAGAGAAAACCCCACTTTCAGTATCTCTCTGAATGATGGCCATAACCAGTGATCCAGCATTTCTCTTCCTGGGAACGTGTTAGGTATCGCAAATTGGTTAAAATAACAGCTTTGGCATCACACTTGACCCGGATTTGAGTTACATCTTTGCCACTTATGGGCTGATTGACCTTAAAGGAGTTACTTATCCTCTTTAGCCTTAGTTTCCTCAACTGCAAAACACAGGTAATAAAAGTGGTGGTTATGCTTCCGTGAGGTAAGTTTTGTTAAGCGCCTGACTGCTTGATAAATGGCACCTATTATTATTATCAGCAACTACCTTTAAAATCAGGTACTTATAAACAACAACTGAATTAGATGGCTGTACCATTTCAGAGGTAGGTATTATAATTCTTTCTTACTCATAAATTCTTTTTTGGGTGTTGATAGAATGTTTTCCTATCAACCATTGTCCAAAACAAATCATGTCCCGCCTGCAAATCTTCTCTTACACATGTGACTTTCTGTCACTGGTATTAGTTATCTCCATCTTACTCAAGTTGAATTAGTTTTTAAAGTATCTTTTAAAAGGCATAAATCAGATTATGTCACTCTCCTATTTGAAAACCTTTAGTGATTTATCATTTGATTTAAAATAAAACCTAAATTCCCTACCATGGCCCACAAAGCCCTAAGTCATCTTGCCCTATCCACCTCTCTACTCTCCAGTATTTCCTTCTCCTCCTGGTTTACTTTGCACTTCGCTCCAAGTACACAGGATATTTCTCCAGCCCTAGAACAGACCAAGCCTCAGGGTTCTCTCAGAGCCTTCTCCCCGACAGTTCCCCCTGCCAAGATTTTTTCCCTCAGGCCCTTTAAATGGCTAGCTACTTGTCAGCCCTCAGCTTTCAGCTTATTCATTACAGTATTTAGCAAGTATTTATTAAGTTTCTGCTATGTGTCAGAAACTGTTCTAGGTGCTGGGAATATAGTAATGAGCAAGAGGGAGCACAGCCCCTGCTTCCATGGAGTTCAATAAAAATAAATAAGAAAGGGGAGGGGGGTGGGAGGATGGGTTAGCCTGGTGGTGGGTATTGAGGAGGGCACATTCTGCATGGAGCACTGGGTGTTGTGCACAAACAATGAATCATGGAACACTACATCGAAAACCAATGATGTAATGTATGGGGATTAACATAAGAATAAAATTTAAAAAAAAAGATATAAAAAAATAAAATAAAATAAAATAAAAAAATAAATAAGAAAAATACCAGGTTGTGACAGGTACCATGCAGAGAATTCAAAGGGGGGTGATGTGAGGGTGAGTGACTGAAAGACAACTTTACATTGAGGGTCAAGGTAAGAAAGTCCACTTTGAGAAGACAGTATTCAAACCAAGACTTTAATTATAAGGAGCCAACTTTTAAGCAAATCTCAGGGAAGAGAACATTAGGCAAAGGGAACAGCTAGTGCAAAGCCCTGTGAGGGCAAGCTTTGTGGGTTTGTGAAACTGGAAAAAGACCACTATTGCTTAAGTGAAATGAGGTAGAGAAGAACCTACAGGGTGAAGTCATACCAGATCATGTAGACCTTTGTAAGCCAGGACAATGAGTTTGGGCTTTACTTTCTAAATGTAATAGTAGCCAGAGGAAGATTTAAACATGGGAATAACTTCATTTGTTTATATTTTTAAAGGAACACTCAGAAACAAAACCAGAATTTCAGACATTCTATAAGACAATTAGCCCAGACTCTTCACAAACATCATTGTCATGAAAAACAAACCAACCAAAAAAGGTACATGAATCTTGTGGAGTCCTAAATCAGAGAGAGAGAAAATGAGAGAGAGACTATAAAAGACATTTAAGAAACAATTGGAGAAATTTGAATATAGATAATATATTAGGTAATATTATAGAATTACTATCAATTTTCCTAGAGGTGACATGGAATTATGGTTATATAGGAGAATTTTTTTATTTTTAGGAGATGCAAGCTGAAGTACTTAAGAATAAAAAACCATGACTTCAACTTATATGCAAATGGTTCAGCAAAAGACAGAGAAAGAAGAGAAATACAAACTAAATATTAACACTTAGACCTAGGTTAAGATATATCTCTTACTCTTATACTATATTATTCATGTATTATTCTTTTATTTTTTCTAGAAATTTGGAATTTTTCAGAATAAAAAGTAGGGAAGAAAATCGCTCCATAGGCTTCCATGTCTGAAAGTAATAACCCAGATACCCTGTTCACTCTCTCACTGAAAACAACTTAAAATGCTTTCAAATATTTAAAAAAATATATAAAATTTATCAATGACCTAGCATTCAAGTAAGGATTACTCAGAAGCTAGGAACTAGTAAAATAGATAAGCAGATGAACTTGAGATTTAGTTGTCACAGTCTCATGAGACATGGAAAAAAGAGACAAAGGCCAGGTCCTACCAAGATGAGGAATCTAATAAGAGACTCCACACATAAGCCAGGATCTCCCAAAGTCCTTGTCAACCTTTTCTCAGAAGACAACAAAAGAAAATTGCCTGCAATCGTCCTTAACATAGAATAGAGGAGGATATATCTCCTGATATTTTTTTCTGTGTTTTTTGTTTTGTTTTGTTTTGTTTTTTACCAAAGGCAATAATCTGCTCTACATGGCTTGTCTGAAACTCAAGCACATAATTTACTTTAAAGTGGTTTCAGGTTGATGGTGCCCCTAGGCAGCTGGTAAAGGTGAACCAGATCACTACTAGAGACTGTTTGTATCTCCCCAAAATTTATATGTTTAAACCTAATTCCCATTGTGATAGTATAGGGAGATAGGGCCTTAGATTAGGTCAAGAGTGTAGAGCACTCATGAATGAGATTAGTGCCCTTATAAAAAAGACCCAAAGAGCAGCCTCACACACAGGGATACAGTAAGATGACACCCCTCTAAGAACCAAGAAATGGGCCTTCACCAGACACGATGTGCTGGCACCTTGATTTTGGACTTCCCAGCTTCCAGAACTGTGAGGAATAAATGTTTTGTTTAAGCAATCCAGTTTATGGTATTTTGTCAGCTCAAGCTAACTAAGACACCGACTTGATCCAGACCCCCAAAATTTACACAGCAGAAGTTCCAAGAAATGTGAACTCTCAGTCAAATTACAAATCATACAAAGAAACAAAGCATCTTATACAAGAATTAGCAGGAAAAAAATAACAAAATCAAACTCTTAAAGACTTTGAAATTGTAATTACCAGCCATAGAGTATAAATATGTTTAATAGATTTAAGGCAATAAAATAAAAGATTGAAGATACGAATAAAGAGCAAAATTCTTTCAAAAATGAACAAGCAGGTTTAAAAAAGAATTTTAAAAACCTTATAGACTTAAAAAAAAAAGACACATAATAATTAAAATTTAAAAGTCAACAGGCAGGGGATACCTGGGTGGCTCAGTCGGTTAAGCATCCAGCTCTTTTTTTTAAGATTTTATTTATTTGAGAGAGAGCGCGCACCGGGGGTGGGGGGGGGAGGGGCAGAGGGATAGGGAGAAGCAGACCCCTGCTGAACAGGGAGCCTGATGCAAGGCTTGATCCCAGGACCCTGAGAGTATGACCTGAGCCATAGTCAGACACTTAACCAGCTGGGCCTTCCAGGCACCCCAGCATCCAACTCTTGATTTCAGTTCAGGTCATGGTCTCAGAGTAGTGAGATCAAGCCCCACTTTGGGCTCTGTGCTGGGCATGGAACCTGCTTAAGAATATCTCTCTCCCTCTGTCTCTCCCCTCCTGCTTGCTCTTGTGCTTTCTCCCTAAAAAAAAAAAAGTCAATGGGTGGGCTTAACAGCAGATTAGACATGCTGAAGAAAAAATTAGCAAACTAGAAGATAGAACCAAATTAATTTTTTCACATAAAAGAGAAACATGGAGGATAGAGGGAGATCTAACATGTCTAATCAAAATTCTAAAATGAAAAGAAAATGGACAATACCTTAGGCAAGATTTTAAAAAAAGAAAAAGAAAATAGATATTTACACATAAGATAATGAAAATACAGAGCACCAAAAGCAAAGTAACTTTATAACCATTGCAAGAGAAAGGGCTGACCACCTCCAATGAAACAACACTTAGCTGATAGGTGACTTTGCAACTGTAAAAATATAACCCAGAAGAATGTAGTGAGAGAAAATGACTGTCAACCTAGAATTATTTAACCAGTAGAAATATCTTCTAAAAATGAGAGTGAAATAAAGGCATATTTAGGTAAACAAAAACTGATTTTGCCATCACAGACCCTCACTAACTGAAGTTATAAAGGTTACCTTTCAAGAAGGAAAATGATTTTAAATGGAAAGATGCAAGAAGGTGGTGATAACCACAGTAAGTGGTAAACATTTGGATACCACTATTAACTGATGTCATTGTTCTTTCTTGCCTTGTAAATTCACTCATTCATCTATTCAAGAACATGTTTTTAAATACCTATTATGTGCTAAACACTATACTGAGTGCTAGGGACATAGCAGTGGCATTTTTACTGCATTTCCACATTGCTTGAAAACCCCTCTGGTGTTAACACTGCTGATACTGACATTTCCTTGATCCTTTCCCAGTGCCTTGGAGAAGGGAGAGAGCAATGAGTGTGCATAGCCTTACAACATGCAAGGTTGTTAGGATAGCCCAAGCTTAGTGTTGTTGTTTTTTTAAACATATGGAATTTTTAAAATTTTTTACTTATTTATTTTTTTAAAGATTTTATTTATTTATTTATTTGACAGAGAAAGACACAGCGAGAGAGGGAACACAAGCAGGGGGAGTGGGAGAGGGAGGAGCAGGCTTCCCACTGAGCAGGGAGCCCGATGCGGGGCTCGATCCCAGGACCCTGAGATTATGACCTGAGCTGAAGGCAGACGCTTAACGACTGAGCCACCCAGGTGCCCCGTATGGAATTTTTTAAAAAGATTTTATTTATTTGGGGCACCTGGGTGGTTCAGTCGTTAAGCGTCTGCCTTCGGCTCAGGTTGTGATCCCAGGGGCCTGGGGTGTAGCCCCGCATCGGACTCCCTGCTTGGCGGGAAGCATGCTTCTCCTTCTCCCACTCCCCCTGCTTATATTCCCTCTGTCACTGTCTCTCTCTATGTCCAATAAATAAATAAAATCTTAAAAAAAAAAAGATATATGTACCCCTATGTTCATTGCAGCATTATTTGCAATAGCCAAAATATGGAAGCAACCCAAGTGTCCATCAATAGATGAATGGATAAGGAAGACATTTTATACACACATAT